GTTATTCCTCTTACAGAACTGAATTACGATTAAATCTCTTCAGTCTCTAACTTTAACTAGTTTTTGCATTGTAGGTAAATATATCTATAGTCCTTTTCATTACAATACTTGTTTAAGCAACTAGTGCAGTAGTGTTTATAATAATTTTTTTATAGTTAACGTCTTTCATTTATTCCGATATGAAACTTTTAAATAATTAGAAGTTTTTATTTATTTATTTATTTAACAACGAGATTGCAGCCGCTCTCCTCGTGTCATAAAATTTAAATCTCAGTTAAGTTAAAAAGTTTATATAAAAAGTTGCTAACCTGCAAACCAGAACGCATTATTGGATCGCTGTTAGAACAGGCATAGCAGGAGGCACTATAGTAACCAAAATTTACCGAATCCTTTATCACGAGGCCCCAATAGATGTGACGTTAATAACAGTCGTAGCGGTTTAAATTGTACCTCGTCCAGCATTGGTCGTCGCCAGCATGTAGATTAAAAGCCGGCGACTTACTGCTGAACCTAAAATGTCGTAGGTAGATACCAAAAATTACAAGTAACGGAAACCCAAGAACATAATATTCAGAATAAAGCTATATTCCTATTTCAAAATAGTTACTAATATTTAATCTAAATTTAGCCCTGGAAAAAGGAGTCGTTGATCTATGCTGTGCTAAGGGAAATTTCGCCTTTTCTTTACGAAGAGCAATAACTGTTGTCTATAACATTATTTTCTAAACACAGGCGTTATCGATCTTAAAAAAAAAGGATGAAAGAGAGATTCTTAGATATATAAAGTTTTGAAAAGTCGATTTTTCGTTTTATAGTAATGCGACTCTTACTCAGCTCCCATACTGCAAGGATATGCTGGTACCTAACGGGGACATTAGCGCTTAGCTTGTTACAAACTCGAAATACACAGAGTTGGCCGTGTAGTGTTCGTTGTACTAGAGAATCCGAGGTACTCACAAGGGTCAAATAATGTTGCGTGGGAAGCGGACGTTACCTTTATAACGTTGCATAGAATAAACTACATTGTATAGGACCTTTAGATACCTACTAACTATATGTGTAAGAACTTGTCATGCCTGGTGCTCTCCATCTGTGTAATAGCTTCGATTGCATTACATGCAGGAATCGATAAGCTTCCGGGAATGCGCGTGATTTGCCATCTTGTACGAGATAATTTGAAATACGAATGAAATAAACCAGGAAATTGTAATGGGAATTGATCTATTTACAAGTAGAAACGTGAACATAAGGCGCTTATCTCTCGAGATTTTCCAACTGTAAAATAAAATTGGAAGGTATGTATTGTAAACAGAATTTACTTAATTTTAAATTGAAACCTGCCTATTTCTGCCGTGAAGCAGTAGTGCGTTTCGGTTTGAAGAGTGGGGCAGCCGCTGTAACTATATTTGAGACCTTAGAACTTATATCTCAAGGTGGGTGGCGCATTTACGTTGTAGATGTCTATGGACTCCAGTAACCACTTAACACCAGGTGGGCTGTGAGCTCGTCCACACATCTAAGCAATAAAAAAAACAAAAAAAAACCACAAAAAATTAAACTTAACTTCGTTAATTGAGAATATTCGTTCATTTTACATAAAACTCACTACTTCACTATCGGATACCTATAAGCGGTATTTAAAAAAAGGAATCGCGTTTAACATAAAGAAATCAAAATGACTTTATTTAAAATTACATACCATGGATGATTTGTTTGCTACATTTCGACAGAAGTTTAGGATGAATATATAAATGCTATAGGTAAATTGTAAGATAATCGTTAAGAGAGGGCAAGGAAGGTCGCGTACTCGAGATCGTCTGCCCGGGGCTCTCACCTGTGCCCCGGTGACCCACAGCCAAACAACTGCGTAAATTGTTGTAGATGACAACAAACTAGGAGGTCGCACATAGTTACGTGCAAATAGCAATTTCGTTGCATTGAAACAAGTTTTCCTTTCAAACATTCTAATTTCTAACCAACAATGTAATAATCGCTTAAATACAAAACAAAGGTTTAGCTTTATCCTGTACTCTGATGGTTTTGAATTAAAACAAAGTTTTCCAAAACATACTAATGTTAAACTGTAGATATCCTTAATTAAGGATTCAGGAAAAATAAAATCGATTTTGATTTAAGATACATTAACTCGAACTATTCTTTGAATTTGTTCATTGATTAGAAGTCATTCAACTTAGAGATCGAATCCTGATCACGCAGGAGCCAGTCACCGTCGACGCCCTAGACACGTCCTTACGGATCCATCAGATCCAATAACCTTTGCATTAGACGCCTTCAGCTCTAACACTAGGAGCAGGCTTAGGGACCTCGGTAACCGTACTCGTCGAACTCGACAAAGAGTTCGCCGTGCAACCTAACCCATGAATCAGCTCGCTGAGTTTCTCGCCGGATCTTCTCAGCGGGTCGCGTTTCCGATCCGGTAATAGATTCATTCGCGAAGCAGCTACTCTTGAGCTGTTAGGTCTCCTTCGGAGGCGCTCGGGTAGCTGTTAGCAAATCCCACCCCTCCTGGCTGAGCCTTTGCTCGCCCACCTGTCCTGGTGAAACTGGAAAGGCCTCCGGACCACCAGTAATGCTTCAACCATAAAAAAAAAAAAAAAAATTTAGAGATCTTGTTGTTCCCTTTCCTGAAAGTCGAATAACTTAACCTGATTTCTTAGTGAACACAATATTTACAAAAAGTTATGCTGTGAAATCTTAGTGTCTAAACAGCGTTACAATGCAGTAAATTGGAATCGTTTTGATCCATAAACAAAAGACAATAATTTGAGATAGCTATACAATTAATCGCCATCTATGGAATTCTTATGGAACATTTTCAGTGAGTCGCGATTTTGATTCTGGGTTAGTTCAATGAAATACTGCTATAACTAGGACAGATCTTAGCAAATCCTCTCAGGCCGAGCCCCGTGAGCTTGCCTACCAAAGTGAAGCCTGAACGAACAGACCTAGGCTACTGGCAGATAGAAAAAGAATGAGAAAATCATTAATCACCACCGTAAAATGGGGGGAATCGGGACACTCTTTAAGTTCGACATTGATTTTTATCGTTTTTTTTTTTGTAGTTAAAGTAATAAAACAGAGATCATAATGATTCCAGTAGTTTAAATTTTCATTTATAATGCATTAAAATTTAATTAAACAAATTAGTTTATTAAAGAATAATCATAAAAAGTCACAAAACTCTCTTGTCCCTATTCACCCAAGTGTTGAGGTGAATCGGGTTACGTATGGAGACAATAGAGTTTTTCGATAGGGCTGGCACTAAAAGTCTTGAATGAGTTACAAAACTTTGATGACTAAATTAAACTATTTAATATTCCTAAACACTAAATAAAAGTCATTTTCAGTTCAACAAAGTTAAATCTCTAACAACCCGACAAAAGTATTGTGACAACCCAGATTTGTCTCTATTTTACCTATAGTCCCCATTGCCCCCAATCTACTGTAACAGTAAAAAACAACTATATTACATTAAAAAAATCGATATCCCAATATTTCCAACCAAAGCTCTGAGATTTTACCATCATCGCAATACCGAAGAAGTTAGAGGTCGATAGAGACATCACGTCAACGTCCGCTTTGCTATGTTGTTGTGGTCCCACTGAACAATAAACTACTCTTTAAACGTACCTTTATAACGCGTTTTTACCACGATTTTCGGTAGACACGGCAGGCTTTGATTCTCTCTACCCGTGATCATGGCATTGGCAGCTGCACTGAAATATCAGGACCTAATCAGAATCGCGGTCAGAGCTTGTTAAAAACCAATAGTGCGCATGAAGTAAATAGCCCCGAAATTTTCAAAAACAATTCGCAACAAATTATTTGCTTAAGTGAAATAAACAGTTAACCGCTTAACATCAAATCGTAAATATGTTAAGTTTTAAAATGAAATTAAAGCAAAATTATATTAAATTTTAAAATGACCAACAACATTGATTTCCTAAATTACACTTTTGTGAAACAGCAGAAATGATAAAATTTTCATAAGCAAACATCGTCTCAACAATCCAGTAAGTAGGTATGCGTGAAAATTTAAAATTGAAAAACTCCATCACACATAGTTGTTGAGATAGGTAGAAAACGATAAATTTTAGACCGGTTTGATTCGGATCTGCAATACTTGATTCTAAATTTAATATTAAACTTACATTACAGATTTCAATTACCCATATGTATCTATTCGTAGGTTCTTTTTTCACAATAAATAAGTGTATTATGCATGTATTTTAACTACCGTATATACTTCTTTAGGACACTTTGGCGGGAATACGAAAAGCGAAGTTGTGTGGATTGTTTTATTTAAGTAGCTTCTCGGATTCTTCCAAAAAGTCCATTGAAAAAGGCTCAATAATTAACCACATTTTTTCTGAGACTATATTGCATCCCATCTCATTTTGTTTCATTTCATTTTATCCCAATTGATTACAGTCTCAAATAAAACAACTTAAATTTCTATTCGTTCCATATCATTTTTCATATTACCAATTTAATCTAAGAAGAAAATAATATAAGGCTTGGCTTAAAGGTAAAAGGAAGGTGATTTTGTCTCGAACTAAATATTGTCGTATTTAGACTAAAATCTAGACAAATTACTTTGAATTCATTCAAATTACATAGAAGAATAACTTCATCTTCAAATTGCTTAGAATATTTTCGGAACATAGTCTTGCTTACATTACTTATATCGATCGATGAAACAAAGCCGCTAGTCGTAGTTCTTTCAAAAAGGCCTATGAAAAAACTCAGCAAATAACCACTATGTTACTGTTACCTTAATTCATCCAATCTCATCTTATTCAATTCATCTCATCTCAAATTATTCAATTTCTTCTCATTTCGTTTCTTATCATTTTTCATATTGTAACAGAAAATAAGAAAAATGGCTTGGGCGAAAGGGCTCGTTATCAAGTCATAAAATTATCAAAAAAAAACTAGTACCTAAACCAAAGCCGTCTAAAAGGTAAAAACCAGTCAACGTCATTGACGCATGAAAAAGTGACAAAAATGGTGCCCGTTTACCAGCTGGCAGTGGCTATCATTGTCTGATGAAAAAAATCAACCCTTTTGTTGTAATATACATTTGGAATGGCGTCTGTTTTAGAATTAGTTAAATACTACCAACATAGTCTGGAAAAGAATTCTCACGACGAACCGAAAGTAAGTGAAGTTTTCAAATATTGAAGACTAATGAATTTCACAGCAATAGGAAGTCGATTGGAAATATATTCAATATTTACTGAACCCAAATTATGCAGTGAGGTGACATACGGTTTTACAACGAAACTTTTGACGCTATCAATACTGAATACAGTAAAAAAAAACTGACGAAAGTCCTCCGACAAACTTTAAAGTTTTTACAAGGAAAACGTTAAATAAACTATAAATGTTACAAATCATAAAGATAAGGTACAAGTATCATTATAATAACTATCAGAACGCAAATCATATATCAGATATAATATAATTCATCAGCACTCGACCTCAAAAATATACAATAACCCTACTGAACTTTTATTAATCAACAATAAAAAGGCAATGTGCAACAAATGATTAATCACTTATCGTATTTCAATGTGAAACATCACGAAAAAGTTATTAATCTAATTGACTGAATGAAACACAAACATTCACCATAAGTAAACCCTTTACGTTAGTTAATTAAGCTTGAATATCCTAGTTGAACGGTTGAAATCAAGTATTTATTCTTCAATTAAAAGTATTGTTTTGTAGTAATGAAATAAAAATATAAGAATAACCACCTGAAGAATAAATTTTCAAATTAAGTTAGCTAACTTTGGCAATATAATTTTTGGAAAATAGTTTTCATTGTATGATCCAAAATTTAGACACTGATTTGTGGTCAACTGTTTTTCGTCAAATTTATTGTAATGAATGTTATTGCATCAACGAAGACATTGTTTTTGTGAGACTTTCTATAACAGCACAATTTTCTTTTTTGTCACTCAATGCTTTTAATCTGTTAGTAGAGATGACAATTACCACAGCATGAAGTTAAAAGCCAACAACTATGGCATCTGTTAAAATTAGACATGGTAATTATGTGCTAAAAAACAAAACAATGGTCATTAGCCCATAGTGACTTACGCTGTTGACAAGGCTGCTGCCTTAAAGCATTCCATCCAGTCCAAAATAGGGTTAATAGAAAAGAAAGAAAAAGAAGAAAAGTAGAATCTACTCAATAAAGGAAAATGGTTACATCTTTGTCATAAACAAATAGTGTTTGTAGAGGGACAGACAACTTTGTATTGTCTTATTAAATTCCTAGTACCTCTAATAAATTACTTGTGATAAACCAGATATTGTACCTGTATACCTTATAATAGTATATTATAATACCTTAAAATCTTTATTTTTTAGATTTTAAAATGCATAGACAAACTGAGTCACTTAGATGTGACAGTTCAACACTTACAAGAAACAGGTATAGGCCGGACTGTCAATGCATTACGAAAAGAACCAGGAGATGTTGGTCCTGCAGCCAGGGCTCTTGTTTACAAGTGGAAAGCAATGGTAGCAGCTGAATCAAGTGATAATGAGGGGGAGTCAAACACAGAAAGTAAGTTATTCTTTAAAACTTGTCATGAATTACCACTTTTTGTGATGGTGCTAAAAATTTTTTTTTTTATCGTTAATAGCTTCTAATACTATCAGTTAATTTCATAAAAGTAAGACACTGGAAGATTATTATATTTGCTTATAGCTTGAAATGATTTTTCCTGTAGCCTTGTTACATTACTACTTGAAAACTTGCTATGATCTAATTTGGCAGACACTCACAATGGGCAGAGAAATGATAAAGATAGAGAACCTGATAATAGTCAATACACTAAAAACCAATCTGAACATCGGGAAAGCATTTCAACTGCGCCTAAAACAAATCAACAAGTTCACAGAGATATGAATGGCCACCATGGTGGCAGCAAGAGGAAAAGACATAGCAGTGAGGTAAATATTATTGATATTTTATAAAATTGCAAGGTTAATGGAATATAAAACAATGGTAAACGTCAAAGTTTTAATTTTTTGAAAATCTGGTTGTTTCTAGTGAAAGAACATAACATTGCATAGTTGTTAGGTTACACATACATGATTTTTAAAATGCTAAAGTTTTTATAACTCCATGTCTTAAGTGGAAGTAGTTTCAGAATCAAACTAAATACATCAGATTGTTAAATAGGATTAGGGAGGAAAAATGACAAGTGTAGGTTACTTTATATCATAGAGTAATATAATAATATAGCTTGATTTCATAATAAAATCGGCTTTCCTAGACCATAATATATAATAAAGCTACTTTCACTCTGTGTAGATTTGTGTCATCAAAAATACTGTTTAAACAAAATCGTCCATGCCATTTGCATAATTAAATTCATTTTGCTTAAATTAACATTGGTGTTGGTCGTGTAGAATAGATTAGGTATATGAAGGACTTAATTTATTTAATTTGCTCAAGTGGATGCTCAGAGAAGATATATGTAATATGAAACTCCAATTTAATGTAGTTTTTAGTCAACCTTACAACCTTTGACCAACCAATAATTTGAGGTTGGTGTATCAGAGAACAGGATGTTGTGGTATTTAATGTAATATAGATAAAATAAGTTGAAGTCTGTTTTCTTCTAACTCGTTTTATTTGTATTTTGATAAAAACTACGCTATCATTAATTTTCACATTTTTGTAGAACTAAGTTAGATTTTTTTTTATTGCTTGTGATAGGTAGACTGTCGTACCCACCGGGTGTTGAATTGTTACCGCAACCGTGAGAGCCACTTAGGGAAATAAAATCGAAAAATCAATAAGATAAATATAATGAATTTCCTCAGCCTTTCAGACCGAAACGCACGATTGCCCAGCTGCGGGTATACCTTACCTGCTACCAAAATCACGCAAATTAAAAAACACGCTATTTTCATTGATAACATACAAAGGTGTTGTATTCTAACATCAAAAATTGGTACGCGCCTATATAATTTGATACATTCGTATAACTTAAAACTGAAAATAAAGAGTGTGAAGGAACACGAGTAAAGACACTACATTATCCACAGTCCAAATTAGCTGCTATGCAGACTTGCGTTTGATTTTTATTGGTCATAAACTAACTTGTAAAATATTGAAAAAAATATGTATAACTCATAATGCTTATTTAATGATGATAGGTAGATAGGACGTGCATTACGTAAGAACCGTTTAGTCTTTATCAGTTTTATTTTATTGCTTCAAGGCAAACGAACATGCAACCTAACTAGTGTAGAATGGTCATCACCGCCCATGTATAGGTATACAATTCCGGGAGCGCATACGGCTGCTTTCCAATATTCGGATACAGACACAACTATTGCTTACGTTCCTCTGACCGACTTAATATCGGCTTATGATCTTCAGACCAAGAATAGTATTTTGGTAGCAATTACGAATTATAGGCCTATTATGAACTTCTATGGTAATTACCAAGTCACCATCTAATTTCTCATTCGACATTATGTTTGACATTTAGACAACTATTATTAAATTATATTTGACACTAGATACATGACACTAAGACCCGCCAGTTCGACTTTAAGTGGGAACAGATTAGTAAATAAATTCGCTCCGCGATGATTCGTAATCGAAAGAGGATTTTAGTCATTACCTTTCCGACATGCTCTACCCCTAGAAAAGTGGGCTCACAATAATCAGGCGAAAGTCCGGCACTTTTTTCCTGACACAAAAAACATATGTTATAATCTTCGGTTTTCCAGTACACCAAGAATAGGCTCCAATAAGATCATCATATTAGGCATACCTTTGACATCAGCGATATTTGATATCTGCGGGCTATGCTAACCAACCACACCAAAAATATCGTTCATTTTCTAACGACGGAAGAATAATAACTATTAAGTCACATAATATTTTGAAAAGATATTAAACCTTGATTTTTTTTGTTTCATAATACCCATCTCGTTTTAGGAAGAAGAGCCCGACCACAAACGTTCAAAACAAACAAGTCATAGTGATGATAATTACAAGAAACATTCTGATGCACGAGAACAAAATGATGAAAGCGAAAGCGACAGTTACGAATCTGACGATTCTGAAAGTGACGATAGCGAGTCCGACTCTTCGGATTCATCTGTAGAAGAAGTAAAGGTTAAAGAAGAAATTAATAAAACACGGTCTGACGAGAACAAACTATCAAAACATTCTTCACACAACAACCACGTAGACCACAAAAGGGAAACCTCAAGCTCAAAGAAGCAACACGAGGCTGACCCCAAACATACCGAACATCATAACTCAAAGTCGAAGCACAGGCATTCGCCAGAAACATCGTATGAAAAATCACACCACTCTCATAGACACAAAAGCTCTAAGGAAAAAGAAAGCAGCAGCAAAGAAGCAAAACATAAATCAGACACAGATAAACATTCAGACCATTCAAAGAGTAAAGATTCGAAAACGGGCAAGTCATCAAGCAGTCATCACAGTTCATCGGCATCAAGTAGGCATCATAGCTCAGACAAACACAAGTCTAGTTCCAGCTCTCAAAAACATCATAATGAAGAACGGAAAATCAAACCTGAAAGACATTCCAGTCATTCAGACAAGCACAGAAGTTCCAGTGAGTCAAAAAGCGCAGAAAGGAATAAGAGTTCGTCTGAAAAAGATATTCCGAAACACAAATCATCAAAAGATAAAAGTAGCAGTAAAGAAACATTTAGTAGTAAAGATAAAGACAGACATAGTTCCTCTAGCAAGGAAAAGTCAAGAGAAAAAAGTAATTCTAAGGATAAATCGAGCACCAATAGTAATGATAAGAAGCATTCGTCTTCAAGTGATAAACACAAATCAAGTAAGAGCGAAAGCAAATCGTCAAAGAATGAAGAGAAGAGTAGTGAAAGTAAATCTAAACATAAGTCAAGTTCCTCGTCGGATCACAAAAGTAGTAAGAATAAAAGAAAAGAAGAACCAGAACCAAAGAAAAAAGCCCGTTTAACCGACGAGGACAGTGACGATGGCATCGACTGTGAATCAGGTAAATGAAGATACGCTCACAAAACTTACCTTCGAATAAAATAGAATACCTTCATACCTACCTTATATTTCAACAGGTGCAAGTTTTGCTGAAGCATTGGGCATGATCAGTCCAGCGAAACCGAAAAAGAAATCGTCACAATTGAAAGACAGTATATCCCCTAACAACATATTCGGTAACGATGTAAGTATGCGAATCGTGTACACTTTAACAAATAATTGGAATATCGTATTTTGAAAATCCACTAAAACTACGTTTTTTTAAATATGACATAGAATCTGTAAAGGCGAATTTACATTACGAAATTAGTGGCATGAAATTAATTTCGTGACATTAGTTTTACCAACAGCTTAACGTGTAATTTAATACTTTCGTAATGCATGCATCAATTTCATGCATGCAAATTAGTTTCGTGACCTGCGCGATTTTTTTGTGAAATTAGTGTCATGCAACTAATTTCATAGTGTAGACGCGACGTGAAACTAATGTCGCGAAAGGGCCTGCGCTCTGTGGACGTGTGTATTGTTAGTTCGAACACGCTTCAAGCGTTGAAAATGGCAAACCAACGATGGAGTACAGAAAAAAATATAGATCTTATTAATGAATATCAGCGACAAGGGTGTCTCTGGGACCTGAAACACCTACAATAAAAAATCAATATTATCTTTACTCATTCGAAAATAGTTTTTATAACTCTCAGGATCTTCATCTGCTAATTCAGAGACTAACTTCATTGCTCCTAAATGCCTTCTTGTTGACCATCCTCGAATCTACCAACGTCTTTTTTTTCTTGATAGTCTTTTTTTAAAGTTTATAGGTATATAAGCATTTCTTTAGCTACATTGAATATAGCAAATTATAGCTTTGATGCTGAAGGCGCCATGGTTACTGCGATACTGTGGATTTCGCGACACTAATTTTTTAACGAAATTACTTTCGCATATATCGAAACTACTTTCGTGAAACTGAGCTCAACATGCATGACACTAAATTCGTAATGTAAATTCCGCATTAAAGTACACAAATGATTATAAAGACAATAATTACCTGTACTATAATATAAGAATCGGAAATTGTAATATATTTTCCAGATGAGTCCGGCGGCTATGTTAGCTCCGACTGCAAAATTGGCGCCTTTGCCGGCATTAGAAATATCTGCACTACCAGAGATATCGCCGAACTACAAGCCCCGACCGCCTCCTAAATTTATGTTCAATTTCACAGACGAAGAGGCCTTAAGTGCAGGAATATCATCGAAAAACCAAAGGTAATCTAAAATGTTAAAAAAATTTAGAAAATGGGACATAAAAAGAATTATGTTACGATTAAAATATATTTTTAAGTTATGCTTAATTTCGAATAAAGAGTTTGTGATTTTGATATTTTCAGAACCAAAGTGTATTCCGGGAATAAGGTCATAGGAAAAATACCAACTCTGTATGAGATATGCGTTAACATTCTCCAAGAGCACATTGACGGTATGTATTTTTAGTATTCAATTGCAAAATGTAGAACACAGATTAACATCATTCTGTGAAGACATCCACACAATAGCTTTACTAATAACAGTGTTGTGAAGTAATTGCAACGGCTTACGATAGTTTAACTGCGTTTAGTTACTTGTTTAATCAATCAACTTACCTGTATTAATATATAAAGTGTACGAAATTAATTAAGGGAAACTTAAGCAAAATGTACCTTAAAATAATTTAAAGTTCCTTTTTTAGGAAATTATTGCCTGATTACTAACTGGTAAATGTTGCCAAAATCGTATAACATTTCGAACCGTTTGCGAAGATTTTTTAATTTTATCATGTCATTAAGCACTTGTCCTTATTTTCGAGTAACCTCACATTCGATATTATGTCAATCTATGTTCTGGGCAAGTGCCTAGGTTAAATTTATACCATAACAACACAAAGTGACATCAGTGACAAATTAAGAACTCTTAATATTTTTAGCACTGGAGTACACAGGCGGTGTGCCATATGAAATATTAAAGCCTGTGGTAGACAGAGCAACTCCGCAACAGTTATTCACACTGGAGCATTATAATCCTTACCTCATGGAGGATACGGACCATCTCTGGCAGAAGTTCTGTGAGAAAACATTCAGAAACAAAAAGAGGCAAGAAATGGAGACGTGGAGAGAGATGTTCATGGTAAGGCGACAAATAAAATTGTTAAAACATTATTATTTAGTTAAATTTATTTGGTACACACACACATCGCTCATATTCTAAGGTTTCGTTATTATTAGTAGATTTAAGAAAATGTGCAACCACGTAAATTATAACTTTCGCAACACCCACATGTGACGTCACAGAAAGTGCACCTAAAGGACTAGTGCTTAAAACGCCGAAATTCGACAACATGCTTTATGTGACAAGTCAAGTCTTTTTTTTAAGTAATTGAAGAACTTTAACGATCGATTAAAATTAAATAACATGTTTTGCAAACATTACGTATATTACGAGTACATGACTTGTGGAAAGAGAAAAAAAAAATTTGCCTCATTTCCGCGGCCATGCAAAAAATCGCTAATGCAATTCATTTGACATAAGTAGGGTTCTTGATGCTTTTGAAAATCGTCAAGCATAATATAAAAATAACACAATTTTCTTTTACAGAGATGTCAAGAAGAACAGGAACACAAATTGAAGTCTCTGACGGCAAACATAAAAATAGCGCAGGAAGCGAAAAAGGCTCCGATTAAACAGACAAAAATGGCGTACGTTGATAGCGTCGTTAAGCCTCCCCGAAATATTGCCAGAAAGCAAGTAAGTTAATTGCTATATCACAAAGTAAAAATAAAGCCACGAACACGTTATTGTGTGATAGCCGTAAGTCCGATCAGGTTTAAATCGTTCTAGACAATTCGAAAGTATTGTATATAAATTCTGAGGAAGTCATATTATTGTTTTTTATTCACGCATACTGTCTTAATGCGTATGGGATGTCATACTTTTTCCTCTCGTGCTGCCTATGTCATTTATATCACTGGATACTAAAGTTCGTTGAATAAGGTTAAGAAGGAATCATAAATGAATAATAGTTTCATTGGTTGTTACTAAGTTTAAGATAGATACATGTACATATTATTATGTAGTATCTAGTGATATAAATTATATAGGCAGCACGAGAGGAAAAAGTATGACATTCCATACGCATTAAGACAGTATGCGTGAATAAAAAACAATAATATGACTTCCGTAAAATTGAAACATGCCTGGGTAATAATTTTATTTAATTAAACATTAGCTGTTACTCGCGGTTTCACCCGCGTAGTCAAGGGAACATGTCAGTTTCCTATTAAAAATTCTCATTTAGCTTTACGTTTGGGTTCTGAAAATATCAATTACCTAAAAGCTATTTCCACTTATTCTGACCTCTGTAATAATTTCCTTAAACCAACCTAACATTGAGTTGCCCGATAGCTCGCTTTGGTTGATCCGTCCAGTGCATGCATAATATCAAACACAAGTTCACGAGCTACTTTCATGATGAAGAAATAGCATAGTATAGTAAAGTTTATAGATCAGTCTGCCCATTGGTGGTAAAACGTACCACTCACTATCTTGCCTTTATCTGATTTGAAGAATAGCAGCGAAGCGATTACAGTGCAATTGACCTCGAACTGATTGCCTTCGACTCGTGTCTCAAGATGAGAGCTTTTACGTTGTTGATATCTATGAACTCTGGCAAACACTAAACACTAGGTGTGCCGTGAGCTTCATTTGTCTAAGTCTCAGAGCTGTCTAGATAAAGGCCGCATGCGACCCTTGACGAATTTTTTGATCAGAAAATAGTTTTGGATATAAATAGTTGGGATAATACGAGTAGAATATTTTGTCAAAAGATATCTATGATAAATATTTGGTATAATTTATCTTTATTCTTGTATTCCATTCCCATGACATCATTTAAAAGTGAAACCATATTTTACTATTATTTTTTGAAAATAAATATTTTTGTCTGGAAAGTATGCAGTTTGTTTTTGAAAATATTTTTTTCTGCGGCCCTACAGCTTATGTAATAGGTACTTAAATTTAATTAACCCGCAAAGGTATGTATGTAGTTTGGACAGCCCTGGTATAAGCAATAAAAAATATCGTCTTTTCCGTCTCCTAGTACAGGCTTGCACGATTAAAAGGAGAGTCCAATCATTGTATAGTAACGGGCAAACTTCTTGAGCAAATGACCTTGACTGCGCAGAACCGAATTTTAGATCACTTTGGTAGTGAGGGTGAGGCGCGACGACAGGGGAAATCGTATCGAGCGCGTTATTGGTAGATCAGTCGAACCTTGCGTCCCGCACCGCACCCTCGTTCCGCTTGCCCCCAAAAGTACGCTTGCGTACAGTGAAAAGTCTATCGTTATTAATCGTTAAGTTATTTGTTATAATTGCTTGTTGACTTTGTTGCCATTGCTATTTGTTGAGTGTTTGTTGATTTTTTATAAAAAATACACTATGCCGCGACAAACTGGTGTAGTAAACAAAAGAAAGGGTAGAAAAATTGTGTACGACGTATATTGCTTCATTATAAAACATGGGAAGAATGATATGGAAAAATTAAAACAGACTTCGCAAGTAACAAAACCATCAGTGAGTACTGTTAGGTGCATTATTAACGAAGCTAAAGGCTCTGGCTTGCTCGCCGTGTTTCGGACTCCGGGTAAGAAAAGATCAGGGAAGAAGAAAGTTACCGGAATGGATAGTTTCGTTCAATCTGTAATAAAAATATGTAATCATAATAACTACATAACAAGGAGCGAAACTCCGTACCGTAAAAATTTAAAGAAGATATAAATTTGAATGGCTCGGAATGAAGCTTACGACTTTTTTTTTTAATTGCCTTTGTAGGCAGACGAGCATATGGCCCACCTGATGGTGAGTGATTACCGTCGCCCATGGACTTCAGCAATGCCAAATTATGAAAGAGCTAGGCTTCAGATGGAAGAAAAGAACAGAAAATAATCGGAAGCTGGTAATTGAAAAAAGTAACATTCGATTACTACGAATCGAATATTTAAAAAAAATAATTAATTATAGACAAAAAAGTAGACCGAACCGACCGAGTTGTAAACTATACCGATGAGCCCTATGTCGACTCATCACGATGATAGCGACTCGGGTAATGAAAACAGTGATGATGATGGTCAAGATTATGATAACGAAAAAAAATTTACAAATACCAGCTTCGCTTCAACTGAACCAAGACCTGGCAACAGCTCTAGTTTTGACTTAATAGAAGGAATATCTATTTTACCCCAAGATTAAATTATTACAATTATTAACGTATATGTTTTGTTGATGTTCTAATAAATATATAAATAAATACGTATGTTGATTTTAATAATTTAATAGCATTATGACGCAGAGTAAGTAATGTTTTTGCACGTGAGTTTACCATGCGCGAACTTACCCCCACTACGTCGACAAATGCTCAAGAAGTTTGCCGGCTATTATATTATTTTAACTTGCTTTTGAAAATAAAGTATTTTGTATTCCGTCTGTCCGTGTGTCCGTACAACGTTGCGTGTTCGCAGGCGGTGCACGGCACGGCGCGCACCGCGAGCGCCAGTCCGGCGGCGCGCGTGGCCGCGCTGGCGTCGTCCGCCAACGTGATGAAGGCGGGCGCCGTGCGGCCCCCGCCCGCCGCGCCTGTCGCCTCCTCCGCACTCAACAAGCCCAAAAAGGCGCCGCTGATGCAGAAGGCCCTGCAGTTCATGCGAGGCCGCAAGCGATGATGAACGTTACCGCTAGTCTAGTTTCTTCTACATTTTGTAAGTAGGTTTCTCTTCGGATCAGCTGCGGGATATGTCGTAGTGTAAATGTATGAATTAGTGTTCTTTTTTTTTAAAGGGATTTTATGACCTGGTAACTAAGACCTTTAGGTCAAAATTAGTGTTCATATATAGCTCTGATGACTAGAAATGTTTTTTTTAATTATCGGTTTTATTATTCATTCGTTCGAAACCTCTGGGAGCGGCACTTAAAATTTTAATTACAATTTTAAAATTAGTAACGTAAGTGTAAAGTCCCGTTCTGACATTCACTATAAACTTAGTGTTGTATTTGTTTAGAAAATTATTTCATTCTAATGTATTAGATTTAAATTTCATAGATATAATTATATAGCGTTTTAACGTAACGTAGTGGAAACTTTACAAGTATACTAATAGTAAACCAGTAGAGTAGCCGGTCTTTTTGGAGAACATTAAAAAAAAACTGTATACGAGGCAAAAGTCTGTAAATTAATTTCACGGTATGTATTCAGTTACTTAAAATTTTTATTTCGCATCGTAACAAATATTACGAATGTCATAAGTAAAATTAATATTATACGTTTAAGAAAAAAAAATCAAGTAGAATTAACATTTTTGTTTCATAGATAATGAAGTGTACTCGCGCGTAACACGACAGCACTATAAGCATTTTGGGAATTCACTGCTCTATGGTTCTTTACTTGCACATATTAAACTTTCAATCACAATGAAATCAGAAAACACCGAAATGCTTATAAGGCGAATGATACCAGCATACATATATACAAAAAATGTGGTAGCGCGTACTTTATCGACATGAATACAAATTTAAAAGTTTCCAATAGACAAAGCCTTTGGATTCATTTACCGCCAATATTGTATCGACCTTCATCTTGTACTTCAGTACTTGGAATTGAGTTCGGTTGTTTTGCAAAAAGCTACGGCAACGAATTCATTTACGGGCTTTTAGCCTCATGAACCACATATCCAAACCGCCATATTTTACCAGCGATTGCTCTTAAATAATTACTAAAGTATATAAATATAAATAGCTACAGGAACTTTGAACTTATAACAATAATCATTTAATGATGTGTGGATGATGAAGCTGATTATGTAAAAGTTGTATCCGTGCAGTGAGCGAGTGGTCTCATTATGTGATGTATAGGCGAGGACGCAAAATAATATCTAAATAATATCTAGTGTTCACTGAAGGTCAGCTTGTTAAATGTGTCAGAACCAGATTCAAACAGTAATGCCGTTTCGAAATTGTAATGTGAAGTTGTGTTGTAATGCAATTTAATCTTGATTTTTAAACATTACCAAAATTTTACATTTTATTTTAGGATAAAGATTTTAACTTGCCGAAATAAAGAATAATAGAAATAATATATCGATGCGCGATTTAAATGAATGTGTTACGTTACGATTTGTAAGTCGCGATCGAATTTGAATTTAAAAAATTATCAAAAAAAGTCATTCAGTTCATTTCAAATCATAAAGAAACAATAATAATTAGTGGCAGTGTCATAGAATTCCTATGTGAATAATACAAATAAACATTGCTCGTTAATAAACAAGGAAGTGAATAGCAAGGTTGAACTTCATTAAAATTCAATACGAGCGGAATGTACTGGAACGTTTTACGTTAGTACTTTGGATACCTCTGATATTGGACATCACCGATTGATTTAATATAAAATAACAACGGGGGGTTCGAAAGTGATCACCACTGCGGTGAACTGACGAAATTTTAGTGATGCATGTACTCGATCGACTTTGACATTTGTGGCTGTGCGAGTATGGATGTTGTTTGTGAGCGCTCGTTATTGATACTTTATTTCATTATTTCTTTTTATAACTATAATTATGAATGTTCATTGTCATTTTACGATTTATATTTGAAGAAATTTGTTCCTGTTTTAAAACCAAAAAAAAATAAGCGGTGTACAAAAATTTATGTAAAATAGAACAAATTTTATTGTTTCGATGTGTGTGTATCTTGTGTTTGTTAGCTTTTAAGTTACAATTATGTACGGCGTGTCAATGTTTTGTACATTACGTATGTTTTATACAGTTTGTATGGAATTTGTTATTTTCATAGATTTTCAAACTTCTTGAGTTTAGGACATATTTTTTTTGGAATGCTGTGATAATGTACTTTTAGCAGTGTGGGGAAGTCTTTATGAATGTCAGTTTTTTTTTTTAAATCGATCGATAATGATGATAATCACAATCTATAAAATATGTGTTTTGTAAAATTTTAAAAAGTAGACCCATTAAGGAAACAAAATAAAAGCAAATGTTTCGACTTGGTTGTTTATTTATTAAAATCTACAATATCTTTGGTATCATAATTATTGTAATAATAGTTATCACTAGAGACTAACCATTAATGACACGTATTACGTAAAAATGGTAGATAAACAATAGAGCTCAGCAGCCATGGCTTGCGTAATGCAATATGGAGAAGGGAACATGGTGAGGTCATTGACCGATTACATCATATCTGGCCTGCTCGTATTTTTAATTGAAAACTACACACAACTACACATATAATATATTCTAAAAATAGTAGGTACATAATTCTTTAAAAATATGACGAAAACATCGTTTACAGATACATAAATGATTAGAGACAATTTATATACATACCGTTTTTAAGAATAGGTAGAGAGATATATAAACAATATCAATAAAACCGACTCTTTAATTAGACAGAAAAAACTTCTATATGCGTTCGTTTCATTGGAGATAAAGTATATATTATACATAAATATTAAATTACGTAGAGATAATCACAAAAATCACATTTGTCCATAAACAACGGTCCTCAAGGTAGAACACGTATTTGTTCGCCCACTTATATGAGTGGTTTTTTGAAATTTACATTTCAAGGCAGCTTAGGCGTTGTGTCAGTACAACACGACGCCTATTTTCCGGAACTTGGCCCTTAATTGCTTTTCGTAGTCGGAGTTGACAATTCGAGGACACTGGTATAAAGCCAAACATTTTAGGTTCTTGTAGTATTCCGAGATGCAATCTACCACGGCTGGAGTGACGTTCTTTATTTTGGCAAGACTCAGTCTATTTAGTTTAACCATGCTGGGACTACCGAATGTTTTCAATAAGCTTGCTTCAGAAAAACGTTCGTTGTTTGAGATTTGCAGTTGTTCGATCACTTTGAGATTACCTAAAGCCAGTATGCCTTCGTCTTTGAGATTCTCGCAATGTATTATCGATAGGCCTTGTAGCAATGGACATTTTGAAAGCAAAATCAAACATTCGTCGTTAACGTCGTCGCCTCCGTAAATGTGGAATGTGACTAATATATTCTGCTTTGATAATATAAGCTGCATGATATACTCCGTGCCTAGATTCTTTATTTTTTCTATTTCAATATGACACAAATGCTTCAAATCAAGTAAAGTGTTACAGTTCGCACGAGATAGTCCGAATTCTGGAAGTTCTAATGTATTGAGGCCTTTAAACTTATCGTATTGAATAATTAAGTCTCCATCTGACGGATAGAACACACAGTTTTTTAAACTGAGCTTCTTCAGATTTGACCATTTCTCAACATCCCTTTCGAATTCTTTTTCAATCCGACACATGCATAGATCAAGAGAAAAAATATTATCACATTTCTCCAACAACATTCTAATGCTTGAATAAGTGTGGATATACTGTAATTTCAAATTGTGTATGCATTCGCTATGTGTTCCGATAACTTGTAAGGTCTTCTGACTCTCCTTGACTTTGTCATGTTTTGCAGAATACGTCAAGTAGATACATCTCCAGACGGCGGTGTCTCTTGCGAGTCTTTTCCATCTTTGAGATACATTTTCGCATACCAGTAAACAGTCCAGCGGTAGGTATTTGAATATTGCTATTAAAACTTCATCAGGCAACATCTCGATGAGGCTCCACTCGCCGATGCTGTCCCAATCTGTATTCGAGTACCTAAAGAGAAAGCAACAGTTTAAGATTTTGAAACAGATAAATTAATTTTGGTACTTCTCCGTGTCGTAAATCCACGAAATGTGCTCCATGATAAAATTCACAGAATATTACGAAACGTGATTTTTATTATTCTAGCATCACATTTATAGGTGCGACCTATTTACGCGCCGTCACTGTTTACACTTATGAATGAACTTTCACTCTGGAAGTCGATCAAATTTTGGATCGAATATTTATTTTTGTATTCTCACCAGATTTTTAATTGTTGTTTAATTCAAAATTTCATAAAACAAAAATGTACCTGAACATTATTGCAGATTGTTTGCTACCTATTTACAAATATGCAAATCATTTTAATATTAAATTTAGAAAAAGACAAAGAAATAAAATATAAAACAACAATATGCGTATTTAGCTCCTCAATGAAAACAAAGAGGAACTTGACTAAGGGCCGGACTTTACTACACGACTGCGGTCCGATACGAACTATAGTTAAACTCAACCCAATGATAAAATACTGTTTACATGTAAAAACCTTAACTTCCAAACTTTGTAGTACAGTACAAAACAACAAATTCAACGATTCATTCTATTGCAGTACACATTCAGGCGCGATACAGCTATTTTAATTTTGTAATGTTATAAAATCGGTATGAAGTTGTGTGAACTCAAGGACATCGAAATGAAGCTTTTTATTACTTGCCTTTGTGGTTTAAGATTCGGACATTTATTTGATACTTATAATATAATTTAAATCTTACCGTGAATACAAAAGCTGTCCCTAAGATGGGTGAAATGTAGACAGCAAAATCGATTGATTACTTTCTATCTAACTTCACTTCGCAGTTCATATGTGCCGTCTTTGTTTAGCGCAACGTGTGGGAACGAGATATCTGAGCCTGCGCAATACGGCTTGCAGTCATTCTAGTTTTTGCCATCTGCCGCTTTATTCAGTGAGTCAGATTCCGTCGGGGCGGGTCGTCACTGCAATCTAACATAAAACTTACAAAAATAATTAGTTTATTTTAAAAATTCAATAAGTGTAGGGCGACCCGATTCCTAACCCGATTGTCGTACTTAACTTAATCAGCCACCATGCTGCATCTCAAGAATATCGCCAAGTCAGTGGTTCCGCCGCTTAAGAATTCTGTTCAAAATGAAGCTCTCAATACAATGTTCCGAATCATACCAGCTGGAGTGAATGTCTGCTGCCGCACGTACGCTAGTCATGAGATTCCAGATAAGCTCAAAGATATTCCTACAAGTGCGAATCCGAAGTTCTTCCACATGGTAGAATATTTTTTCCACCGAGCCTGTCAAGTTGTCGAAGACAAGCTTGTTGAAGATTTGAAGTCAAGGACACCCATTGAAGAGAAGAAAAAGAAAGTAGCCGGTATTCTAAAACTTATGGAACCATGCGATCACATTCTTGAGATTCAATTTCCTCTGAGGCGCGATTCTGGCGATTACGAAATGATATTAGGCTATCGCGCACAACATTCCACACACAGGACTCCAACCAAAGGAGGTAGGTGCCATTTTTTTTTGTCTTCAATTGCTTACATCACCAAAGACGACTGAGTATTTATTGTTTTAATAGGTAAATTTATTTTTAGCTACCGAGACACGTGATGTTCATTGTGAACGTTAATGTTACGTATGTACGAGAAACGAATTATTACACGTATCTTAAACTCAGACAATTTAACTAAAGCTAATAAATATTAAATTGTCGATAAGTATTTTATCAAGACAAGCGTACACAGATCTACTGTTTCGTATCTTGTAAACGACCCGATCCAATGCTGAACACGGCCTCGATACCATTATTAATTAGAAACAAACAATCAGTGACGTTTATTAATAATCTTTTCCAATTATCAAAAATCGTCACAGAATAATTGTGAATTTATAGAGACAAAATCGATTCGTTGTGTTATACATAATTTCTAACCTAAAAATATTGTGAATGGTTTCTATGTCGAATGAATATTAGGAATATGATTACCTAACTCTCAATGCTATTTAAATGTATTTTCCTCTAGTTGTGCTGTTTGTTTCTAAATATATTTATTTAATAGTGATTCAATAAAAATGTGATTACATACAGCCACTAATGAACTTAAAATAATGTACCTTCCGTGGAAATTTTGTAATTAAAATATTACTGAACTACAAAGACTAATCTAAAAATTTAATTGCAATCAAAAGCGCCTACCTACCTACCTAATGTTAGTCTGTATCAGTTAACATAATGATTATAAATCCGATTGAAGAAACTCATAACCTATTACAATAATATTTCAAGTAGGTATTAATTAATCTATTTTGATTTTGATGATAGATGACAAGACGAATTCGCGACAGATCTGTCGTGGTTAACTTATTAAAGGGGCCCAGAGATCGTACAATCAAACCCATAGACACTACAAGGTGAATGCGGCCGTCGACCTTGAGAGTTGAGACCGGTCAAAGGCCCAGTTGCATTGTTAGATCGACTGTCGTACGCCTGACGAACAGAAATAGGCAGGACGACGGTACTAAGCCGAGGCCTTCCGACCGGTGGTACCTAGCACGGGCTAGCCCTTCTTCTTCCTCTTTAGTTTTTGGCTCCGACACGGTTTGTGCATTAGCCAGCGTCAAGTAATAAGATTTTTACCATTCGCCGTTTTAATTATTTACAGTTTATGAATAATAAAAAACGAAGGAAACTTAATCAATTGTCATGAAATTAAATGACATGAGATCAGATGATATGGGATGAAATATAAGCTCAGTAAAACGGTGGTCATTTACTGAGACTTTTTTTAGTAGACTTTTTGGAGGACATCGAGAAGTTACGTTCAGCGGCTTTGTTTCATTTTTCCACATTTGTGCACTTTCACAGGTACCGTTATTACACATTTAAACCCGAAGAAACACTAAATAGACAAAATAAAACAAATCACACAACTTCACCCCTCGCGTTCCCGCCAAAAAGTCGGTGGTAGTCCAAATACCAGTAAATAGTAAAATCAATAAAAAATTTAGGTATTATTTAATTACAAGATATGATTTTCTTTTTAGATCAGATTTTTAATAAGTTGCTGTTAGACACAAATAATAATCCAACGTGTATTCTCAATTGTTTTCAAAAAAAATGAATTATGTAAAAGCTTTTTTAAAAACACATGGACATTCGATTAAAATATACATTCCTCTAGGTTTAGGTATATATACTGATGAATAAAACGCCCACTGTATTGATACTAACGCGATACAAAAAATCGCAGGCAGGTAAAAATTTTACCGCAAGACGGACTCTCGAACAATTCCGATGAAGGTTCACATTTTGTAAACATTGAACCTTAAACACACAAAGAGGAACCAAATCCTTCCTATTCTGCCGCGACGTGTCTCATGTGTTCTCGTTTGAAGTGAGCCATTCTTCACACAAGAGAAACGAGACGTCTCTGAACTCTAGCCCACTGAGTTCCTCAACGGATCTTCTCAGTGGCTTGCGATTCCGATCCGGCGGTGGATTCAGCGCAGCACTGCTCTTTCTAGGGCAGATGTTAGCAAAGTCTCCCAGGCTGAGCTCCGTGAGTTCACCCACAAGTTACTAGAAATAGGTAGGAGAAAGAAGAAAAAACTGAATTCCGGTAACCACTTCAAATTAAGTCCTCGCCTGTCCATCTCGCGCAATAAAACAAAATTTTCGTTTGTTTAACAAACTAAAGGCGACCACGATGTCATTCACCTTTCTACATCCAAAGATGAAGACAGTAAAGTAAGAATATTCATAAATTCATATTCTTTACCGTAACAAAGTTATTTTAAACAATTTGAAGAACAATGATTCTTCTGTTAATAGAGATTGCGAAATGATGCACCACAACGTATAATTTATTTCAGCATCAGATCAGATTTTACGAAATTTTTTATTCAAAATCGCCACTGTTATTTTGAAAATCTAAGGCAAAAATTAATGAAATTTATTATCTTGATGTGCTCCTCATTCCTCATTCTTAGATTTCTATATTCCTCTAAAAAACACAATAAGTACGTATGCAGAACAATCTTAAAACCCTTTTTTCTACTATAACTTACTTTTTTCTTTCTTTCTGGTCGTTCCCTCAATGCTGAGGATCGTGACTGTATGTCAATCTTCTCCACTCGGTCCGGTTCTGCGCCATATGTACCGCTCCCCATATCTGGCCTCCAGTCACCTCCTTGAGTTGGTCAACCCATCTAGCTGGCGCTCTTCCTCTAGCGCGCTTCCCCTCCATCTGTCCGAGAATTGTGAGTTTCTCCAGGCTGTGCAATGAGGATCGCATTATGTGCCCAAAGAAACTCCGGATCCTTTCCTGGCACATAGTCAGCAGGCGCTTGGTGACTTTCAACTCTTCGAGGATGGAGACATTGGTTCTCATAGCTGTCCAAGGAATGCGTAGCAGCTTTCTCTTCAAACGCCTCAATCTTTTTGCGTTCCTTTTTCCTGAGACACCAAGTCTCCACCCCGTACAGGAAGATACAGAAGACCAACGTACGAACCAGACGCATCTTAGTTACTCGGCGAATATTACAGTCTTTCCAGATTTTATCGAGGCTAGTCATGGCGCTTTTAGCCATCCCGATACGGCGTTCGATTTCTTTCTCGCTAGCTTACTTAGCGGCCGTTAATAATTTTTTTAATTTTTTTTTATTGCTTAGATGGGTGGATGAGCTCACAGCCCACCTGGTGTTAAGTGGTTACTGGAGCCCATAGGCATCTACAAAGTAAATGCGCTACTTACCTTGAGATATAAGTTCTAAGGTCTCAGTATAGTTACAACGGCTACCCCACCCTTCAAACCGAAACGCATTACTGCTTCACGGCAGAAATAGGCGGGGTGGTGGTACCTACCCGTGCGAACTCAGAGGTCCTACCACCAGTGATTACGCAAATTATAATTTTGCGGGTTTGATTTTTATTACACGATGTTATTCCTTCACCGTGGGAGTCAATCGTGAACATTTGTTAAGTACCTATTTCATTAGAAAAATTGGTACCCGCCTGCGGAATTCGAACACCGGTACATCGCTACATACGAATGCATCGGACGTCTTATCCTTTAGGCCACGACGACTAAATAAGCGAAAATTAATTCTAAAAAAGGTAAGCTGAAGGCTTAGTCGAACATTTGGTACCGATAAAAACAGCGACAAGAAGGTGTGTACTGGAGTTCGTCGTTATCTATAACATACAACATGGGTTAGGTTAGAAACAAGTATAATTTTGCTAAAAATACGTCACATCAATCATAAGATATCAAGTGATGTCATTTTCGCCTTGTTTTTAAGCTTAGCATGTAGGCATTTAAGATTAAATTCAAATTGAAAATAAGATAAAAGAATAGGTTTCTAGAAAGTTGGCAACAGGAGGCGTGGTCGTGACGTACAATCTTTGGTGTTGTGCTAACCGTCATACAATTACTCAATATCGTCAAATTCTAGAATTATTAGATTTTTCAATAGTTTCCAGATTTTTTTCTTAACGAATGCATTTCTTTTGAATTCTAAATTATACTTTTTTCTTTATTTCTTTAGGCTTAGATGACCACCACGTTCGAAATTGGAAAATTCAAAGTCATCTTGTTGGCATGGCGCTTTTTTTTTTGCCAACAAATTCATTTGCATTTCCAATATGCATCTGAATACATACCTATTGGTCACTATAATATCGTACAAATGTTTTATTAACAGTCAGATTCTAGGTATCGATAAAAATAATGGTAATGCTATATAATTCTAGATTTAACAAGATCCATCTTTTCGATCCTTTAGAAAAATAGACAAATAATTGACTCAACAAATAAGGGGTACATTTTTTAAAATTTTAAATGCAGTTGAATTGTCGTACCTATATTAATTAACGATTAACGTTAGACAACGTATAAATACCTAACTGAAATGAATTATCTCCTTCAGATATCACTTTAAATGATATAACTATTTTTTCTATGAGTACCTACTCGTCGCGCCTCCGTCTATTTATGTCTCTCAGAAAATTGCCAGTAAAAAGCCGTCACTGAACTCGATTACACCTAAAAATACTGTGTGTTGTACGAATATTAATAGAAGTAAAACATTTTTTGAACCAGATGATGGTTTGACTGTCACGTGAGCGTTCAGAAATGTCTGACTGCGATTAGTTACTACCAAGATTTGTTCACTACCAATGCTAAATACCAGCAAACGTTTTAAATTTGGTTTGATTGCATTTGCACCTGATTTCTTAGTAATAAATGAACTGTTTTTTTTTGATGAAATATGCAAACGAGCAAACGAGTTCTTGGCAATCTGATTTTTAAAGATTACCACATCATAAAGTAAATTCCGCCCCCTTAGAAAATGAAAGTCGTCAACGACTCAATAGAGATGGGGAAGTAGGAATAGGTTACATCATCATCTGTGTTTAAAAAATATTATATAATAATCTTTGAATCGGTGTTTTATTTATTTTATCATATGCATTTTTATGATAGTTTCATCACCCTTATCACTGTTTACATAACCCCCCAACCGGATCACGAAAATAAATGTCAGAGCGATTTTATCACTGAACATGCATATACTTTGTAGGCGAATACATTATCTTTTTTAATCATAAAATTTTAAGAAGATATGTTAAGGATATACAATAATTGAATTTGCAGCAGCAAATTTCTCCACCTCAAGAAACTGAAATCCAAATTACGTTTAAAACAACAACAAAATATATTTAAATAGATATTTATGGTGTGGATTGGGAGAGGCCTATGTCCAGCAGTGGACGACTGTGGGCTGTTGATGATGATGATGATGATGATGATTATGCAATAAATGTTAGAGATTCAGGATGGTAAATGTACCAAAAAATACTAAAATGACGTATTCAACTGAATCAAAAAGCTCGAAATTCGTGTAAAACTACCTTTAAACGAATACCAATTGATCAAACATCGATTGAATACGATGAATGGTAAAAACAATACGCACAAATTAAACATTGTAGATTTTATGACTCAATATTTTCAGGTATTCGATTCTCAACGGACGTAACAAGAGATGAAGTTAAGGCGTTATCAGCTTTGATGACCTTCAAGTGCGCGTGCGTGGACGTGCCTTTCGGCGGTGCTAAGGCCGGTATCAAGATCAATCCCAAAGAATACTCCGAGCATGAACTGGAAAAGATCACTCGTCGTTTCACCCTTGAACTTGCCAAAAAAGGATTCATTGGTAAGTTATTTTAATCGATTTGAATATTATGGAAACGAAATGGAGGACTCGCAATGGACATATAAAAGACTAGCTTTACCCGTCCGCTTCGCTGCGCATTTAAAATTAACATTATTATTTCTAACCCCACAAAGATTCTCATCATTAACCCCCCCGCAACTGGTGTAAGGAGTCCAAAACTTATATAAATATTAGCCTATCCATTAAGTACATGTATTTTCTACATAGATACCAAGTTTCAAGTCAATCGAATGCACGGTTTAGTAGTTATAACTGAACATCCGCAAAAACCACTGTAGATTTATATATTAGCATAGATAAGATAAATGAAGTAGACAAATGTTAATGTTGCTCAATTAAATAAATAAATTACAATCGAAAAAAAAAAACCCACCCAAACTCCACAATTCAAGATCAGCTGACACCTAGGCTGCAAGGCTTTGGTGTGAGGCAGTTGTGTCTTCTCTCAAATTGGCTTTCGTTGGCGGATTTATTAAGCTTGCTAGAACTACAACTACTATTAGCTATCTTTAACATGACATACCAATATGTACAGTTTTGTACTTACGAGTTACTTATGTGGCACCTACTATTATTTGTTTTAAAAAAATCTGTGATAATTATGAACTAGATTATGATAATTATAATAGAAATAGACACCACTATGATTTGTTGAAACCTTTTGAAATTCACAAATGCTCACGTAACTGTGCTACCACCACTTTTTGTCAATATCATCTACCTAAAGCTTTCTAATTGTACAATCTCTTTTATTCAATCACTGAAGCGATTTGTCGTACAAATGTTTTGTAAGGTTCTACTTAACAGTCGTGTCAAATTTTGTTTTGTTTTCATTTAAACTGTTTTCATTACAAATAATGTGAGGCTATGTGTTAATTGACTGATCGCGTTTCGGCCTCACTCTGTCCCTATATTGACCATTATTATAAATACATGGGTATTATTATAAATACATGGGTTGTTGACCGTGCTGAGTAAATTGCATCTAAGTGTTGTAAATTACATGACGACAAGTCTAGAATAGCTAACTATACGTCTGTCAGTCGCTGTGTCGTCACGGAATACCTCGCAAATCATTTTGTTTACTATGTCGCTTCACGTTTATTTGTCTTAGATGATTTCTTTTTTAACCAACTTCAAAAAAGGAGGAGGTTCTCAATTCGACTGTATCGATTCGACTGTATTCGACTGTATTCGACTTTTGACGGGGTAAATCGATTTTGATGATTCTTTTTTTATTAGAAAGCTGACGCTTCCCGTGTGATCCTATTTCAATTTAGTCCAGTTCTGATAACTTAAGAAAACCATATAAGTCTTAAATTTGCATTAAGTACATGCGCGACAAATAGATGAATAACTCAATATCACGCCAACCGATTTCGATGATTATTGTTTTTAGTGTATATTAATTTGTTTTGGAATATCTTTTTTTTTTCTATTTGAGGTCAGTTTTTGTTAAAATGTCTATTTACAATAATAATTATTGGTTATTCTTTTCGCACTTCGTAAGTCCATTCGTATTAATAATCGATAACTCGATCGAATGATAACTTGGTCGATTTAATTAGATCGATAATAATTAGTAATCCTAATAGATTAGATAATATTTCAATACTTTAGTGTACGTTGCCTTCTTTCTGTGTTACCAAGGTATGTAATAAAAAAAACATCGTACAAAAATATTAGGTATAGGTCATTCTAATCAAACCGGAGGAAACGCTAATAATTATCAATGATGTAGGCTGTCTGTATACGTAACGCTTTAATTATTGGAGTTGAAATTTAAAATTAGACTCAATGTACCCGGAAGTCTATTTGGGAACCGAATAATAATCATTAATTTAAAGGGGGTGTCCAAAGGTGATATCAGCACGAGATAATGTTAATATATATTTTGTGTTATGCCACTCATCTAGAGCACAGACGTTATCGGAATTGAATAATAATAAACGTGACGCGATAAGCTCAAACAAACACCGCATGGTAACTGATAGGATTAACACATGTACTCGAAGTTGTCAGAATGAAATGTGAAATTCTAAAAATACTAAATTTGCAAAACACATTTTTTTTTAATGTAATCCTCTTTTTTATAATAATGTAAATCTTACGTCAACATTTTTTTTGATTTGATGATTATCTTGATGTAGCTACTAAATGAAAATCAACAACTTTAAGAAATAATCTTCAAGTTTTATTTCGTCTGAAGTTCAAATCACATCTTTCGCATAACGTTTTAAAAAATCTTCGTCTCTGATTGGAATCAATTGCGACACAAATTCCGATCCGGCGGTAGAATCGATGGCGAAGCACTGCTATTACTATAGCAAATGTACGCACGTCCACCCAAGTTGAGCCCTGTGAGAACATCAGAACAATAGAATTTTACTGGTGGTAGGATCTCTTGTGAGTCCGCGCAGATAGCTACCACCGCCCTGCCTATTTCTGCCGTGAAGCAGTAATGCGTTTCGGTTTGAAGGGTGGGGCAGCCGTTGTAACTATACTTGAGATATTAGAACTTATATCTCAAGGTGGGTGGCGCATTTACGTCGTAGATGTGTATGGGCTCCAGTAACCACTTAACACCAGGTGGGCTGTGAGCTCGTCCACCCATCTAAGCAATAAAAAATAAATAAAAAAAAACTACCAGTCCGCGTAATTGGGTAATAGCCCTTTAGACTACAGACAATTAGGGGGGGGGGTGTAACCAATTGAAAACCACTTATGAAGCATTTGTGCGTATTACTCTCCAATGACTTTCAATAGAAACTAATTATAATACTGATCTCTTTCAACATTCTACCGGCCACATATTGAGTTTTATAAAACCCAAGTTAAAACGTAATACTATAATTTGTTAACTGAATTAATTTGTACACTAAAGGGCCTGGCGTGGATGTCCCCGCTCCTGACATGGGTACCGGCGAACGAGAAATGTCTTGGATCGCCGATACTTATGCGAAGACCGTCGGTTTTCAAGACATCAACGCTCACGCCTGCGTCACTGGCAAACCTATTAACCAGGTAAATAAAAATAGCACTAAAAATATTTCAATTAAATATCAATTTGTATATATCTATTTATTGTTTGTATGTATTTTCTTTAATAATGTGTTGTTAATAATACGCCGCAACATACCTGCTGATATCTGTCCAGAATTTCGGGTAATTACCTAAACGGTTGGCTGGAAAAGATAGCTTTTAGCGATAAGGCCGCCAATTGTACAAACATATCTGCTTGTTGACTATTTTCTGATGTTAATTGCGTTTTGGTGTGCAATAAAGTATGTTATCTCTCTCTCTCTCTCTCTCTCTCTCTCTTTCTCTCAATTTGACATTTTTTGATTTTGTAGTATTTACGCACAATCGCCTTAGCCACAAACGTCGCTCTATAATTTTGGATAAATTGCCATCAGACAGAGCCAAATGGTAGAGATACAGTTCGATAATAGTCAGCAATCGTTTGTAAATGTCCGTGACCTAATAAGTACGATGCCCGTTGTATTAGTCTCGGAGTTGGAACAAATACAAGCTTTCTTATTCTTAATGTCTAAATAATGTATAGCCGTTATTCCAATTTTAATTCGACCGCATGTCTTAAGATAATCATTTAGATTCAGTTTTTTTTTCCTACCTAAGCTGATAGCCTTAGATAGAGGCTATTTCAGCGGAACCTTAACTAGTAGGTGAGCTCACGGGGCTCAAACTTGAGGACGTTGCTAACACGAACCCTAGCAAGACCCATGCTTCGCAGAATCTACCACCGGATCGGAAACGCGACCCACTGAGAAGATCCGGCGAGAAACTCAGTGGGCTGTGTTTGAGGGCTAATTTACTTGTCGAGCCCTTCGTCACAAGCGACGGGTTCGGTGAGGACGGTGACCGGAAAATTACTAACAAATGACGTAACTATTGCTTGTTTCAAGGGTGGCATCCACGGCAGAGTTTCAGCCACGGGCAGGGGCGTATTCCACGGCTTGGAGAACTTCATCAACGAAGCCAACTACATGAGCATGATCGGTAAGTACAAATGCTTTATTGGCTTAAACGGGCCCTTTAAATAACAATTACATATTTTTTTTTGCCACAGCACTAGTTTCGCCATGATCTTATACGGTCTTTTTATTCTTCTTACTACCTCGTGGTCCGTCTCCAATAGACTAGAATGATGCCAAGCTCTCTAAATTTCGCCTAACGCTGACAATAGCCCGAAATCGGCGGTTACAAATTAAGTATAATGAATACTACACAAAGTAATTCTACGTAACGAGGTCGCGTCATAAAGAGATAATAAACGCACTAATATGATACTTATATACGACGCCGCTGTTTATTTATCCGGTCTGAATTCATACGACATAAATATTTGGGTTTTTAGATAATAGTACAAATGATGAGGTCACGTAATCATCTACATCGTGTTATTGACCGCGTTTTTTTTTTATTTCGTGTTACATTGACTATGAAATACCCAAAGGTGTAGGGACAGAATATACAATGGAAATTTGTCATAGCCTAAAGGAAACCAGACCCATTTACGTTATCTATGGGGTCCGGCTACCACTTAACACTAGATAGACCTTGAAGTCACTACTTAGGAGTATTTGTTAGAATTTTTTAATTTATTGCTTACATGAATAGACGAGCTCACAGCCCACCTGGTGTTAAATGGTTACTGGAACCAATAGACATCTACAACGTAAATGCCGCCACCCACCTTGAGATATGAGTCCTAAGGTCTCAGTATAGTTACAACGGCTGCCCCGCCCTTCAAACCGAAACGCATTACTGCTTCATGACAGAAATAGGCAGGGCAGTGGTACCTACCCGTGCGGACTCGCAAGAGGTCCTACCACCAGTAATTACGCAAATTATAATTTTGCGGGTTTGATTTTTATTACTCGATGTTATTCCTTCACCATGGAAGTCTATCGTGAACATTTGTTGAGTACGTATTTCATTAGAAAAATTGGTACCCGTCTGCGGGATCCGAACACCGGCCGCATCGCTCAACACGAATGCACCGGACGTCTTATCCTTTAGGCCACGACGACCTAAAATTGAATAAGATTGAAGTTTATTTTTTGTTTAAAAGGTACAACCCCCGGTTGGGGTGGCAAGACGTTCATCGTCCAAGGTTTCGGTAACGTGGGACTCCACACTTGCCGCTACCTGGTCCGCGCCGGCGCCACTTGCATCGGAGTTATCGAGCACGACGGCTCCATTTACAACCCTGATGGCATCAACCCTAAGGTAAGCAATGGACGACCACCGATACCAATACCAATACCAAAACTTGATCTGCATGAAAGAGACGATTGGTGCCCCTCAATCCCCATCAACAGCTCCAAATACTTGGAACATCAGAAATGACTTCCTCGATAAGTAAATAAGATTGTCTAATCAAATAATTGGGCGTAATATAAACTCGCACGGAAATATACCACTATCCTGTATGTTTTTTCCGCGAAGCAGTCATGCGTTCTAGAACTTAAGTTAATAGCTAATAATATATAAGTGAGATTTCATCTTGAGGTCTGGTGATAGGTATTGGTGGCTTACAACAGCAGGGTTGAAAGGTCGCCTGTTGTATAATGATATATTTTATAAACTAAACCGAACTAATATTTGAATTAAAAATTTTCCTGATGACCCTGGTCAGGATAGGTCAAAATAATGAAATTATTGCATTGTCAAAATAACTTTTTTTTTTGTTTTTATTAAAATGATTCCAAAAAATATATTAATATCTAAAGTTAATTATTTTATAATTTATGCGTGATTATGTTTAATTATTCTTATTACGTAGATGAAAGTTCAGCAAACAAAAAAAAACATATTTTAACGATTGTTAAAATATGTTTTGTCCTGCTTGATTAAGCAGGAGCTCACATTACAAAACAACTTAGGTAAAATACAATAATAGATATATTATTATACTTATGTAATAAGCAACATATATTTTCAATAAAATATTCAAGATTCTACATTCCTGAACGTAACGTCGAATAAGGTATATACATATCGACGCTTGAAAGGCAAACGTGACTAAGCGACAATGCGTGAACTTTACAGTAGACTAATTTAAAGTTGAAATACCTGAAAAAAATTCGATTTTAACGAATCTCGCTGTAGGATTAAAATGATTATAATATATCTAGACCTAGAAATATATATATTTTTTGCGCATCAAATATGGTTATGCCTATCATTTATGTATAAAGCAGTTAATGTCGCTTAGTCACGTTTGCCTTTCAAGCGTCGATATGTAAAACTTGTCTTTAAAAAAAACAGTTACTCTATTATGACTGTGTCTCTCTACATTAAGAACCTTAACAATGTTATATCTTACGGTCGTGCACTTGTAACGTACTGCATTCATATATGAATAAATGAAAAACTCGTCTTCATTATTACATTAAAATTCTCCACCGACCTAAATCAGGTCTTATCAGCTAGGTGCAAACAAAAATATAATTTTGTGTCGGACTGATAAAAATATTTTACCTATCGATAAAGTATTTTCAACTAGCGTAGAGTGGGGATTTTTTTTTTTTTTATTGTTTAGATTGGTGGACAAGCTCACAGTGGTTACTGGAGCCCTTAGACATCCACAACGTAAATGCGCCACCCACCTTGAGATATAAGTTCTAAGGAATCAAGTATACTTACAACGGCTGCCCCACCCTTAAAACCAAAACGCATTACTGCTTCACGGCAGAAATGGGGTGGTGGTACACACTGACAAGAGGTCCTACCAACAGTAATTACGCAAGACATAATTTTGCGGGTTTGATTTTTATTAAACGATATTATTCCTTTACCGTGGAAGTCAGTCGTGAACATTTGTTGAGTACATATTTAATTTTTCAACAATTTTTCAACAATTTTACTTGTTGTGCCTCTTAACTAGTTAACTAAGTATTTAAATAGCATTAAGTTATCGCACTCGCTGCTCTTAACCCTTTGACTGGCGTGTAGGTCGCGGGTGCCCTACGTAGCGCGCTTAAGTATTTATAAGTAACTAGCTGTACCCGTCTGCTTCGCTGGGCATTTAACTTATTATTTAAATTATTTCTCACCCCCACAAAGATTATCATCATTAAAGCCCCGGCAACTGGTGTAAGGAGTCCAACACTCATATAAATATTAGCCTATCCATTTAGTACCTACATGTATTTTCTACATGGATACCAAGTTTCAAGTCAATCGGATGCATGGTTCAGTAGTTATAACGGAACATCCTTAAAAACCACTGTAGATAGATATATTAGTATAGATTATGCACTATGTGTATGCAAGCTAGGCGGCATCATGAAGCCAAATTATCTTCATTCACACAGAACGACAATAATACGATTGGCATTGAAAAGTTTACATTGTCATGCTTACTTGAAGATAAAACTTAAAGCGATTCATCTTAGAATTTACGTAACTTTAATATCTACAAAAAGAAAAAGAAAATTTCATGAAATATTTCTTTATTGAAAATTAAACGGTAGTTTGAATATTATTATTCAAATGTAGACGAATTACATCTTAGCCGTGCGTCCGTGACCATGGCATCTGTTAATGATTCGAAATGTCAGAAATAATATGACACTAATAAGCCCCGATATCTAATCGTACAAAAACTTACACGCATTTCCTTTCAGTTTCTTTGAATTGTAACTTCCAGCAAATATTACACATGTGAAATTTAAATTATGTAATATCATGACTCGTCCACTTCCGTTTGAACTATTACGTCATAATAAATACATCTGAAACAGTACGCTAATATAAGGTCTATTTTCATTTGACAAAATGAATTTAATAGACAGACCACACTTGGTTTTAGAGGGTACCAAAGCCCATAGACATCATACCTGAATATCGCCACCCGTTTTGAGACACGATATCGAAGTATCCATTGTGCTGTATAATGATGACACTCTTCTCGATCTTACTCTTCAAACCTTAAGACATAACAGAAATGGGTAGGATGGCAATACCTATCCGTGTGGGCTTAACATAGGCTCTATAATCTGCAATTTCGCAAATAGAGCCTTAACAAAGATAGATTTTTCAAGAAGAAAATATGTTAGTGACGTATTTCTCAACGAAAACTGGTACCTTTCTGTTGGACATGAATATCAGAATAAACACATCGCTTGATACGAATGCGCGGGAGAAACAACGCGGAGGCTACGACTTCTAAAATAAAACTGCTTTACTTTTTTTGCTGGCCAATCTCCAGTAGTAGAAAGTGAGTTGCTTGAAGAACAAGAACCCGATCTATGGTTATTAGGTATTAAGTTAAATGATTGCATTGATTGGCGTATACTTTTTTCGTTCTCTTGTAGTCTCGACCTTCTAACGCTGTATATGTTATATATCGATATGTTATCCTAACAATGCTCACATTGATACCTATAATGCACATTAGAATTAAATGTAAAGTGAAATGTTTAAATCGTGGATACCTTTGCCTCAATCGTCAATGAGTATTGACCGCTTAATCCCATCACTAGCTCCTTTAAAGATCTCCACATAATCCAGTCGAGTCACACGCGATGCAATATTAAAATCGACAAATTTATCCAGGCCTTGGAGGACTACAGAATCGAGAACGGTACGGTAGTCGGTTTCCCCGGCGCTAAGGCCTACGAAGGCGAGAACATGCTTTACGAGAAGTGCGACATTCTTGTACCCGCCGCCATCGAACAGGTCATAAACAAGGACAACGCTCACAGGATCCAGGCTAAGGTATGATTTTTTTTATTTTTTATTGCTTAATAAAATTAAATAACGAAAATATCTTAATTGAGTCGTAGGTACATTTAACAAATTGTCCATTATGAACGCACTACGTATCAGCAATAACAGTTCAGTAGGCTTAGTGCGAGTTTCAAAAATCGAATCGAATGACTCGCATCGAGTGTACGCTCTTCACGGTGAAACGTGCGGAGCTCTGAGTGCGAGTTACTCGATTTGCAGGACGTTTATTCATCTTGAGAAGCGATATTTTTTCTTTTATATTGGTAGCACGCAAGGTTTTTTTATAAGGCGTTTAATTGAAATGCCAAGCTTTCTAACGATATTTATAATTAGTCGGGTAATGGGCAATGTACCTGTGCTTAGTGCGAGTTTTTTTAATTACTCAATCGATGTTAATGTTATGTTTAATTTGTGTGAGGTTGTATCAGTGCCACCTAGTGGTAAGCTTATGAATCTCATTTTGTAGGAGAGAGAAGGTTTGTTTATGTTGCTGTCTCATGTATCGAATAGCTTTACCGAAGTGAGCCTCTCGATTATTGTATGTGCGAGTGCGAGTTGCAAATTAATGGATTTTGAGAGTATTTCTTCACTATCAAGCAAGTTAAGTAGTCACTAAAAATTTTGCCGTGAAACCAATATAATATCAAGATTTTTTCTTCGTTTTTAATAATAATGTGGTTTTTTAAGGTTTTATCTATTCTAATGGTTTATACACATATATATTTTCGGTTAGAAAATTTTATAGACGTCTAGCTAGTTGTAAATACATATTAATTCTTTGCTTTTTCAATTAATTCTTATTAAATCATTGCTTTTTTTTAAAGAGTTGTTTGATGAGAGAGAGAGA